GAGTGATGCCATTAACAAGTTAATGGCAGAAATAATCTAGCATATATTTATTTCGTGGTTTTTGTCTAATGCTAAACAATAATGGACCTGAGCTGAGCAATAATCTATTCATTACGTCTATATGCCATTGTTCTATGGAAAATTTTCTTGCGTAATTCTGCTGGTGCAGTCGAAAATGTTTGTTACGTGCATCTGCTCCTTCCTCTGATAACAACCATATAGGCAAAAGAACATTTTCAATAACAATTGCCGTATGTATTAGGATTTTGTGCATAATAGATTCATGGATATAAGTTTATGTACATATCCGTAGTCTTATCTCTTACTCATAGAGAGCAAACTTTTTTAAATCCACTTTATGCGAACTTAAAATAACTTCCAAAATTACTTTTAACCGTCTTATTAGATTTAAATCCACACCGGTGATTTCGGCAGCAACTTCAGGATTGCCAAAAAATCTTCTGCTTGTATTCCCATCATTGGTATTGCCAAAGCCAGCTTTCGGAATATCCACTAGTAACCCCATTTGCTCCCTATTTTTTTTTATATTTCAGTATTTTCATTTTTTCACAGGAATTTTGTATGCTAAATGCAGTATGCTTTGGAAAAAGCGAATCCTAGCATGCATTGAGGTTATTAAATTCCTTTGATGTCGCACCACAAATGTAGCATCTCATGGTTGAAGTAGTGGCTGTTGCAGTATTGCATATCTTGGCATCGACACACTATACAACAGCATTTCTCCTTGTACGAACTCGCTGTTTTGCACTGCCTTAATAGCGTCTTTTATCTACGCGATTTCAGACTGAATGATATCCACTGTTTCTTTGACAAATCTGATCCTAATTTATATTTTTGTTTGAATTGCGTTTGTACTAAACCATCACATTCCCATCTTGAAATCATTCTACGACGATTGACGCTCTTCTGGACCTAATTGTGTAAGTAAAACTTCTAAATACATAGCCAAACAAAAATAATTAGCTGTGTGGTCCAATATATCCTGCAAGATAATTTCAACGCATGTTTCAACCGGATAGCAAGTTTGTTCTGCAACAATGTGTAGCCCGGATAAAACCTCTTGTTGCTATCTCTTATTATTCCATACTGTCGCCTTGAAAGATCAGCTTCCACAAACATTGACAGAGCGGCTGTCGGATCTAATTGTGACACCGCTTGCTTGTTTTATATGCCTTTTAATATGCTTTTGCTCCCTGCGGAGAGTTAAAGATGTCTTTAAGGATATTGGACGCAATTCTCTCTCCAGAACTTTGAAGGGATGTCTGAGCAGCATGCATTAACACATCTTTTTCAACAACTCTGCGAACGTCCTGTATTTTTCTGCGCTTACTCCTCTCACTTGATTCTGCAAAGGCCTTTGTTGGACGACCAGAAGAATTAGGTTTAGCCGTCGGTATTTCGAATGTTTCTTGCAGCCATTTATCATTCTTTTGAAGGAATAGTTGTGATTTTTTCAATATTCATATTGTGAGAAAATACAGGGTTAGGCAGGGAGATATGGATGATTTCAAATAACAGTTACATACTCATTTTTCAACGAAACTCAAATTTTATTTTTAGAATGTGTAGCTTGAATGTTGCCATTACAAAAATTAAAGACAAACAAAAGAACTAAAAATTAAAACATTGACTACGTACGAAAAATAACATCTGTTAAATGGCATCCGTTTTTGTCCGTACACTTCTGTAGACGTTGTGAGAAGCAGTCCATACTCCTCTGAAGCATTTCACGTGGAACCGCTCGAATTTCTTGTGTTTCACTTAGGGCTTCAAGTGTATGTGGTTTGTTTATGTATACTCGTGCTATGAGGTAGCTGCATAAAAAAGTCACAAGGTGACAGGTCCAATGACCGAGGAGTCCAAGGAAGGTCTGCCTTAAAAATTCCATAGCTGCTCTCGATGTATGGCATTGAGTTTAGATACGTCGTCTTCTGAATTGTGGCAGAAAAAACTCACGCAGCATCACAAAAGTAAATGGCGGCTACTGATGAACAAATATCCTTACTCTTTATCCACCAAGGCTCTCCAGATCTTGCGTGTCGCCACGTTCAAATCATCCATACCTCCCTGCCTAACCCTGTATAACTATTAAGATAAGCCAACTTTTCGTCAAAATTTGTCAAGTTTTGATCCTGCATTTTGTCAACAAGTAGTCTACTCGTTATTACTTTAACCCCAGAGGTATCCTCTGATTCTTAAACAAAATGAGAATTCCTTTAAAAGAAAAATTAATAAAATAGTAAAATTAGGCGGTCTTGTACTATATCATTTATTGAACAACTATGATTTCACGGAAAATCGCAGGGGTTCGCGGCTAATCTCAATGTTTTTAATTAGATGAAATACTTGATTCTATGTAAAAACTAACGAAACTTAAGGGACGGACCCTGAAATATAACAAAGTCCTTAAATGCAAAAAAAAGAAAATTTACTACAACAAACAAGCTGTAGCAAACAGCAATGCCCAAAGTATCATGAACAATACTTAGGGCGACCTACATCTTCGAAGTCGGAAAAGATTATTTCTTCCATAAACTTCAAGCAGTGTAGTAACGTTCGTTCCACGTTTTGAAAACCAAGTTTACCCTGCTTCAAGTTTATGGAAGACATAACCTCGGCCGACTTCGAAGACGTCGGCCGCCCTAAGTATCATGAACAATACTGACAGCGGCCGACATCTTCGAAGTCGGCCGAGATTATCTCTTCCATAAAGTTGTTAATGGTATCACTAGGAATTCGAAGCAGGAAAAAAAGTTTACCCTGCTTCAAGTTTATGGAAGAGATATCTCGGCCGACTTCGGAGACGTCGGCCGCCCTAAGTGTTGTACACGATATTTGGGGCGGCCGACGTCTTCGAAGTCGGCCGCCCCAAGTGTCATGAACAATGCTTAGGGCGGTCTAAGCTACAAGCAGTTTAGACTTGGTTTCACTCTCCGAATCCCGAGTGATGTCATTAACAAGTTTATGGTAGAAATAATCTCGGCCGACTTCGAAGACGTCGGCCGCTTTAAGTATCATGAACAATACTGAGGGCGGCCAACATCTTCGAAGTCGGCCGAAGTTATTTCTTCCATAAACTTCAACCAGTGTACACTTGGTTTCACTCTCCGAATCCCGAGTGATGCCCTTAACAAGTTTATGGCAAAAATAACCTCGGCCGACTTCGAAGACGTCGGCTGCCCCAAGTATCATGAACAATACTTAAAGCGTCCGACACCTTCGAAGTCGGAAAAGATTATTTCTTCCATAAACTTCAAGCAGTGTAGGCTTCGTTAAACGTTTTGAAAACCAAGTTTACCCTGCTTCAAGTTTATGCAAGACATAACCTCGGCCGACTTCGAAGACGTCGGCCGCCCTAAGTAACATGAACAATACTGACAGCGGCCGACATCTCCGAAGTCGGCCGAGATTATCTCTTCCATAAAGTTGTTAATGGTATCACTAGGGATTCGGAGCATGAAACCAAGTTTACCCTGCTTCAAGTTTATGGAAGAGATATGATACTTGGGGCGGCCGACTTCGGAGACGTCGGCCGCCCTAAGTGTTGTACACGATATTTGGGGCGGCCGACGTCTTCGAAGTCGGCCGCCCCAAGTATCATGAACAATACTTAGGGCGGCCTAAGCTTCAAGCAGTTTAGACTTGGTTTCACTCTCCGAATCCCGAGTGATGTCATTAACAAGTTTATGGCAGAAATAATGTCGGCCGACTTCGAGGACTTCGGCCGCTCTAAGTATCATGAACAATACTTAGGACGTCCGACATCTTCGAAGTCGGCCGAGATTATTTCTTCCATATATTTCAAGCAGTGTAGACTTGGTTCCACGTTTCGAATCCCGAGTGATACCATTAACAAGCTTATGGAAGAAACCTGAGTATTGGTCATGATACTTGGAGCGGTCGACGTCTTCGAAGTCGGCCGAATCTTGATGATTTCGATAAGTTTTACGGTAATTACGCTGATTAATAGCGATGTGTTCCGGAAGTGTCCATGCGTTAGCAAAAATTGACGAGACGCCTCCCGAACTTGGATCTCATTAGGAAACTTAACAGCTACTATTTACCGAGTTATTTTATCAACGAACCACAAAGAAACTATTTTATATTGTGTAAGCACTCGAAGAAATTGTCTGCATATTAGATTCCATCGTATATTGGATAAGTGCTCAACGGAAATGGTGCCTTATTTCAAAACAATTCTCGAGGGCCTCTTCTGGATACGGATACCGGGCAGCTTGAAAATTTCTCGGACAGATTTGAAATACAATATCCGATATCCTCTACAAAGGATGTCTACTCGCTTTACTCCAAAAATAAATAAACAGGTCCTAATCTTCAAGCTCGAGAACCAATCGAATTGCCCTCCTTACCTTTACACTCCTAAGGGTCAATTAGATGCCTATACCCACTTCTATTGTTATCCAATCCTCTACATACTTGTCTTGCGTTACCATATCGATTGTAGTACAACACGTCACTATCATACTATTGTATGACAGTGGATTCTCTTAAATCCATTTTTGCATCCACTCTTTTTTTTAATTTAAATTTTTTCCAAATTCCTGAAACAAAGTATCACTTATATGAAAATCTGAATAATGAAGTGATTAATTGACAATTTATTAGAATTTTGAAAGTCAATAAAAATATGATTATCGAGTTGAAAAAATCCTGCTACCATTTATTCATTCAGAACGTATCGATTTTTTTTCAAGTATTTGTAAATTCGCGATGCGATCGGTCCGTACTTAATTAACCGATATTAAAATTTGCGCAACTGTTAATTTTGAATGCCGAATATTTGAAATTGAAACGTAACCCTGCCCACTTTTGTTTTTGTTTTATTCGCCCGTTCCCGTCCTGAATTATTCTGTTGTGTACGCGACCCCTCTATTTATTCAACCCCGCATAATTGCGAGGGTTAATTAGTAAACATTAATGCTGTAATAATATATTATAATCACGCTTTGTTGTTCCAGTCGTTGTAGAGGAGCCCGAGTTCACCGAAGTCATCGAGAACGTCACCGTCTCGGCTGGCAGGAATGTCAAATTCGCCTGTTCTGTGAAGAATCTTGGTACTTACAAGGTCAGTTCTTTTTATGGGTAAAGTTAATTCGGCGAAGAAATATTTAAATGTTAATGTATTTAGAACGAAAACGGTTTTGGGTAGTTTGGTATTCGAAAGATCCGGCGTCATGTTTGCCCTCTTATTGTTTCCTATCGCCGCCCTACTGGCAACTGCGGTCCTATTCGAATTCCTAACGTCACTACAAGGGATAGGGTGCGGAATAAATAAAACAAGAGGGACGCGGCGTGCGTATTTCATCAACGACGCGGGGAATGTGTTTTTACTTTTTGTTTTGTAACTTATTCGTTATTGGTAAGGCGTTTGGTCATTTTCTTTTCCGGCCGGTAAAATATTCCTAGCTTAATAAAATATCCTTCATTCCCTTCACTTACTTTGTACATCTGCACGGACACACGTGTTCCTTTTGTCTCCGTTGGGCCTCTACAAGAGAGCGTCCCTCGTAATATTATCGCGGCCCATGTAATATTCACCACAAGCCGGCGTTACAGTATTTCGCGCGGGAAATACGAAACGCTTAATTATTCACGACGGCAGAAAAAGCTAATTCCCGGTATAAAGCGACGATGTCACCCCAAAAGTAAACCGCCCCTTTATCCACGCTCTCTGACTGTCTGCTAAAAAGCCGCCGCGTAGAAAGTGGCCGGTTATTTTATTAAGGGCAAATTATGTCGACTTCCGGTTCAACTCGCATTCTCCACCCTTTCCACACATTCCTATAGATCTGCTTTCAGGGGCAAACCTCGTAAAAGTCCTGCCTTCTTCCGGACTGCGACCATGAATCCTGCATAAAGGCGGATAAACGCTCATCAGGAATAAAAACATTGGAGTTCGTGATGAGCCAACTTCTAGCCCGTTTTTACTGCCAACTCGCAAGATGTTCGAACACCGACAACGTTCAGGAGGAACTCTTCCACCTCCCACCCCACCTCATCCCTTCGCACGGGCAAGGCCCTTTCTCCCTTTCTCCCCCACGTCACAAAACATGTGTAGTTTTTATGTGGCATGAATCGATTGCTATATATCCAACGGAAGTGAGCACCGTTCCATTAAACCTCTTGTTATTGCTTTCACTCCGTGGCCCGCGTTATGGTTTACGTGAGATTTTAGTACGATTTCAGATATCTTTAACGCACTATTGTTGCACATAATACACTCGATTTATTAAATTGTATTTTTTACAAATCATTTTTAAATAAAACACGTTTTGAAGAGAACATTACATCTAATTTTATCGATAAATTGCTTTAAAGCAAATCATCAGGAAAAATTAAAGATAAAACTCAACCTCGCATTTTGTTGAGCGGCATGGATTGTAGCGCCTCGGCCGCAGGCGACCTCTATGTTATATATCGCATTTGTTAAAGACAGAACTTGATTGTTTCGGAATATAATAATAGCCGAGGCACTAAATTTTAGACCATCCTACACTCAATATATATTGAAAATATTAAAACATGTGTAGTTTTTACGTGGCATGAATCGACTGCTATATATCCAACGGAAGTGAGCACCGTTCCATTAAACCTCTTGTTATTGCTTTCACTCCGTGGCCCGCGTTATGGTTTACGTAAGATTTTAGTACGATTTCAGATATCTTTAACGCACTATTGTTGCACATAATACACTCGATTTATTAAATTGTATTTTTTACAAATCATTTTTAAATAAAACACGTTTTGAAGAGAACATTACATCTAATTTTATCGATAAATTGCTTTAAAGCAAATCATCAGGAAAAATTAAAGATAAAACTCAACCTCGTATTTTGTTGAGCGGCATGGATTGTAGCGCCTCGGCCGCAAGCGACCTCTATGTTATATATCGCATTTGTTAAAGACAGACCTTGATTGTTTCGGAATATAATAATAGCCGAGGCACTAAATTTTAGACCATGCTACACTCATTATATATCGAAAATATTAAAACATGTGTAGTTTTTATGTGGCATGAATCCATTGCTATATATCCAACGAAAGTGAGCACCGTTCCATTAAACCTCTTGTTATTGCTTTCACTCCGTGGCCCGCGTTATGGTTTACGTGAGATTTTAGTACGATTTCAGATATCTTTAACGCACTATTGTTGCACATAATACACTCGATTTATTAAATTGTATTTTTTTACAAATCATTTTTAAATAAAACACGTATTGAACAGAACATTACATCTAATTTTATCGATAAATTGCTTTAAAGCAAATCATCAAGAAAAATTAGACAAAACTCAACCTCGCATTTTGATTCCTCGCATGGATTGTAGCGCCTCGGCCGCAAGTGACCTCTATGTTATACATCGCATTTGTTAAAGACAAAACTTGATTGTTTTGGAATATAATAATAGCCGAGGCACTACATTTTAGACCATGCTACACTCATTATATATTGAAAATATTAAAACATGTGTAGTTTTTATATGGCATGAATCGATTGCTATATATCCAACGGAAGTGAGCACCGTTCCATTAAACCTCTTGTTATTGATTTCACTCCGTGGCCTGCGTTATGGTTTACGTGAGATTTTAGTACGATTTCAGATATCTTTAACGCACTATTGTTGCACATAATACACTCGATTTATTAAATTGTATTTTTTACAAATCATTTTTAAATAAAACACGTATTGAACAGAACATTACATCTAATTTTATCGATAAATTGCTTTAAAACAAATCATCAGGAAAAATTAAAGATAAAAATCAACCTCGTATTTTGTTGAACGGCATCGATTGTAGCGCCTCGGCCGCAAGCGACCTCTATGTTATATATCGCATTTTTTAAAGACAAAACTTGATTGTTTCGGAATATAATAATAGCCGAGGCACTAAATTTTAGACCATCCTACACTCAATATATATTAAAAATATTAAAACATGTGTAGTTTTTACGTGGCATGAATCGATTGCTATATATCCAACGGAAGTGAGCACCGTTCCATTAAACCTCTTGTTATTGCTTTCACTCCGTGGCCCGATTTATGGTTTACGTGAGATTTTAGTACGATTTCAGATATCTTTAACGCACTATTGTTGCACATAATACACTCGATTTATTAAATTGTAGTTTTTACAAATCATTTTTAAATAAAACACGTTTTGAAGAGAACATTACATCTAATTTTATCGATAAATAGCTTTAAAGCAAATCATCAAGAAAAATTAGAGAAAACTCAACCTCGCATTTTGATTCCTCGCATGGATTGTAGCGCCTCGGCCGCAAGCCACCTCTATGTTATACATCGCATTTGTTAAAAACAAAACTTGATTGTTTCGGAATATAATAATAGCCGAGGTCGCTTGCAGCCGAGGTACTAAATTTTAGCCGATTTTGTTGAACGACGTGGATTGTAGCGTCACGCCCGCAAGCGACCTCGGCTCTATATTATATTTCGCGCTTATTAAAGACAAAAATTGATGGTTTTGGTATATGTTTTTACTATGATTCCAACTTTTAAGGTCTACTCAGACAGAAATGAAATAAATGAACGCCAAATACACCGAGTTGGTCAAATCGATTTCTTTCTATGATGATAAAATAACGGATTTTGAGAACACGCTTAAAGAATTCGAGGATAAGGTGAAACGGCTCGAGTCTGTTACCGCAGACTCGAGTATAAGGCTTATATATGTGGTCGATGACCTGATCTCGCGGGTGAAGCATCTGGAACAATACTCCAGATTAAACAATTTAATCCTGTCCGGGATCCTTGAAAAAAGGATAATCAAATAGGATATTCCCAATATTACTGAAAGGTTATTCGTTAGCGAACATCTAACTGTACACAATGCCGGGCTGCTGAAGTCAGCTAAAGCAAGGGCAAGAGTTATGGTAATCAAGTTTGAAGCTGATTTATTAAAACTTTAACTTTTGGTTCGTTGACATGATCCCGCTGTTCCAATTTGGTCTCCTCCAGAGTCTTGTCTTTGTCAATGATGTATCAAAATGTACGTGGTTTGCGCAGTAAAACTGAAACAGCTTACGTGATTCGTTTAATTGTTATTTGTTTCCCTGAGACTAATCTTAATGACTCAATCTATGATGGGGAGTCGCTTTGCAGTGATTATATTATTTTTAGACAAGATAGAAAGTCTTTGATCTCTCATAAATAGAATGGTGGTGGTGTTCTTGTTGCCAGAATTATCTACTGTTGCTGCAGATTTGTGGCTCTCCATCTATGTTGGAGATAAAGGAGTGCTCTTGTGTTGTGTCCTTTTACTATGTTCCTTCAACAATTGCAACACATTGGTGAGCTTTATCTTGATGATGCTCTTATAATAGTAGGTGATTTGTATGTATTAACAAGTCATTCAAGGGTCAGAAAACCAGCCCAATGTTTTAATGAACGTTAATATAGAACAGAAAGGTATGCTTTGGGATCCTTTTTTCCATTCTTTGGTGTGACCCTGTTCCAGCTGATGGGGGGACATAATGACATAACTCGTTCTGTACAACCTGGTTGGCTATCTGTCAGTTATGTCTAGTAGGAGAACTGTTTAGTTCCACTTGGTGTGGAAGCGTTGAAAAATCTTGGTAAGTACCTGGAAAGTGAACATCCATTAATAAGTGCAATGATTCTTCCGGATTCTTGGCATCAGTCTTTTTTAGAATGTCAAAACTGTGTTTTTGGCCACGATATAGTATTTTGTTTAGGTGTGAGGCCTCAGCGGCGCACTCCACCTCCTCACTAAAACCTCTCCAGGCTTGTCGCTTCTTTTGACGTACTAGACATCTGAATTCTGACTGGTGTGTTTTAAACAAAGTCCAGTCAGAATTCAATCTAGTTTGTTTAGCTTTATTAAAAGCTTTCCGACAGGTGACCCTCATTGAATGTAGCCCTTCCTCTCTCCTCCACTATTGCCAGAGTCAGTGTGTCACCTACGAGGTTTGAATAATTCTCTAATTCATCGGTATTCTTAGGAAGGGTATTCTTGGGAAAATCTCGCAATTGCTCCCAATCAATAATCGTCTGACACCTTGCATTGGCGAACGTAGGTTCACAAC